CCCCGAGTCTGTTTTCCTAAAAGGGCCTGCTGCCCAATCGAGTTCCGGCAAGCACGGGAGGAGGAACTCGGAGAAGAGCGAGTGGACTCGGAAGAACTCGGTCGACCCGGGAGTTGTTATGGGCGGGTTGAAAGGTGTTCGTAGGTTTTCGAACGCAATGTTGACGGATATCGTGAGATTTTCAATCCAACATAGGAAGAAGAAGAACTCGGTGACTGAGTCGAGCATTTTCAACCATCTCGTTGGAAATGAACATGTGCTCAAGGACGTTAATTTGGTTGTGTCGGCCGAGTCATTGCCCGAGGTGAGTTCACTCGCTTTGTCGGGTTCAAAACCGGGTTCTCATTTGTTCTCGAAGAATTATGGCGTGATTAGGAGAGGGCCGAGAGGCAATAGCAATTTGGATTTGATCAATTCTATGGTGATGAAGCATATATGCTCATTTCCCATTGATTCTACAGTTTATATTGATTGTTGAACATAAAAATTCTGAAATAAAAAAAAAGGAAATGTTACATTGTTTTTTATTTACTGATTTGTTAGTGACTATAAATTGTTCATAGCACAGTTGTAATAGAGACTCTTTTTTTTTGGCAGTACAACTGTACAAGCAAGAATTGTGTACACTTTGTAAAGACTGTCAAATATTTTACATAATTATTTGTGTAATATTGTAAAATAATTGGGTGCAGTCTATTTTTATCTTATTGTTCAAAGTAAGTGAAATTTTATTACATTTCAAAAGCCATGTTTTATTAGTTGATTTATCAGTTGAGTTGGAATAAATTTTAGTTCTTCCGTTTTAGTTAACACAAAATTAAATTTTATTCAATATTCGATTTATTTTCACCAACACAATTTATTGTACCAAGTGAAACACTATTGAAGCTTGAAGTTTTACATTAACAAGTGGTAAATTGATTTATCGTAATTCTTGAGAGTCCACCATTTCTCTTCTCAAGCAACTTGCTATAGCATGCACCAATAGGTACATAATGGTAATTAACATAATTGCCAAACTAGACTCATTAAACTATTTATATCTTCGAAATATTATAAACTTTCAACCATATATTAACATGTATAGTCCTTTGCTTGGTGGTTAAGTTTGGAAAATTAATGAATTGAGGAAAGAATATGGTGCATGGAAAAACCTAAAAAGAAGCATTAAATGAAGATCATTTAATTTAGTGGTGTCAGTGGACAACTGTCATCTAGAAAAATTAACAAGCCAAATAAGGTGTAATTTAAATCACAGGTCAAAATTGATGCGGTAAACATGTGCAGTCTGTGAGCATTCATTCAACCGCGGCCTCTCACCAATTGCTGCCACAAACTCTATTTAGTATTTAGCATTTCAAGGACCAAGGAAATTGAATTTTCTCATTAAATTATGGGTGTTGCTAAATACCTACCCCTTTTTGCTAAATACCGCACCCGCAAAAGATAATTTTGTCCTTTTTAATTTTTTTTTCTTTTTTTTTTTTCTGCTGGCCGGCCGCTAGTTGGGGCTGCAACTCGCGCGGCCGGCCGCTAATTGCGGCCACCACTAGATCAGCCGTATTGCGGCCGCAACTCGCGCGGCCGCACCGCAATTGCGGCCGCTTCTCGACCCGCCGGCCCTTAATTGCGGCCGGCCCAATTTTTTTTTTTTTATAATTTAAATATTTTAAAAACTATATAATTTTTTAATATTATCAAATATCAAAGAAACTAATTTACAATTGTTAAAGCAAGTTGCTACAATATTTATAGCCATTCGTTGCCTTTCATTGGACTTTCTCATCCAATGTGGGATAACTATAAATCAAATGTTTCAGTCTCCCAACCTTTTATAGCCACTTTTGGCCTTTATTATTGTGTTTGTAATCGATGTGGGATTGTCCCATACCTCTAGCCTTTTATAGTTACTTTTTACATTCTTTTTTGCTTTCAAAATCAATGTGGGACTAAATGATCCCTACTTTAACACACTTTCAAATTTTACTTCACAAAGAAAGTGTTCAATAATTTATATTTTTTTTCCTTCTTTGCAATCCATTTATTTTTATTACATATATATAAATTATATTATTTTTAATATTTCACACGTTAAACATTTCAGGAAAATATACCATCCCGTGCATCGCACGGGTACTGTACTAGTAATGTAGTAAAATAGAATCTCCTTTTATATAAGTATAGATTGTATAATACGGAAATAGTAATGCAATAAATGTTGTTGACTTTTCTTTATACTAAACCTGGTAAATGGTATACCTTTTCTTATATCAAGGGATAAATTTATATGGTAAAATTAAATTTTTATTAGTATAAATTTTTTAGTGAGATAATATATTAATTATTTTACAAGCTAGTCCTAACATGCTCATATTTAATGTTTTAAAAGATGTAGAAAAAAACTTATAATAACTCTATTATTTTTTAGACTTAAACGTTAATTAAAAGAGGTAAAAATTCCTAATTTTTTAGACTTAATTGTTGATTAATACCATAGATTGAGGATTTATATTTAGTAAAATTCCTAATTGTAATAAAAAAATTAATTTTTGCTATATTTTAGAATATCTTTAAATTTATTATAAAAAAAAAAGAAAAAAAAACTACAATGAAAAAAGCAAGTCAGCTATATATCGATTTGTTGTACTCCTCAAATCACATTCACAATTTGGCTACAAGGAATGGAAACTCATTGATTAAAATATTATTTTGTCAGTAGTCTTAATGTACAAGAGACTTTAAGACTCCACTTGAATATTATAAAACTTTTATTGAACATTGTACAATTTCTTGCGTATTATAAACTTTTATTGAATATTGCATCTTATAATATAATATTCTCCAATTAAATATATCTCGTGCTTCGCACGGGTCACGTATTATATATATCCCGTACATTTTTCTTTATTCATGTATATAATTATAAGCTGGATAAATAGCCTTAAAATTGTGCATCCCGTGCATCGCACGGGCTCTGTACTAGTTCATAAATAACAGAGCATTAAAGTTTGATACATAAAATCCTAAAGAATGCGAAGTTTATAGAAGAGCATTAACTAAAATTCAAAGTTACCAATTAAAATTCATAAATAACATAGCATTAAAATCCAACGAAAAGTAATTTTCATAACTAAAACTAGTGTGTAGCCCGTGCGATGCACGGGTAAATAATATTAATTAATAATTATAAATTAAATATGAGAGCAAACAATATTAACTAATAATTGTAATTATGATGTGGAGATATTAACTAATAAATGTAATTAAGATGTGGAGTAATATGGTTAATATGTGATATAATTTATCGTATATCAGTTGTAAACAATACAAATTTATCTTGTATAAAATAACATAAAAAATGTATGTTTAAAATATTAAAAACACCTAAAATATTATATAACATATGTAAAGTATCTAAAATTTTATATATCATTATTGAAGATGTGAAGTCACCTAAAATCTTTCTAAACTATTTTATAAATAAAGCATGTCTAAAATTATTTAAAAAAGTCTTGCCGAAAATATGTTATTCAATTTCCAGAACATGATGATAAGTATAAGTTTGAATTTTAGAATCCACGTGAGTATTATTTTTTAGATCCGTGTACTATACAAATTATTCATTATGTTAATTTCCTGTGAACTTCATATTGATTTATTGATTTTATTTTATTTCTATACAAAGTTGATCGTCTCATTTTGTTTTACCATATTTTCATGGAGATTTAACAAAGTCGATTGCATTTATAAAATGATTTGGATATCAACATACAATTTATAATGGAGTTTTCAAATTTGTGTACTATTAACAAATGATATATTATCATTAAATATATTTTTTTTAAATGCACAATTTATTGAGACTGATAATTTGATAATTATTTTACCTTTTGAAATTGAGTATAGAAAAAACAATAGATTTGTAAACAAATAAGTGATAAACATTACCAAATTTATTATAACACGTTCCAAATAAAAAAAATTGTGATGATTAGTGGAAAATGATATTTAACGAATAGCATTCAATAGTTTTTTTTTTTTTTAAGGCATAAATATAAAGACCGATATTCTAAAATTTTTATTACCTTTTCAATTGAGATTTTATAAATATAGAGACTGAGAATTTAATGTTCTTCGTTGTTTCTATGAAAAAATAAAATAAAAATAAAAAATACACACTTAATAGATCTTAGTTAAAATTTTCAAATAATAAAATGAATTAAAGCCAAAAATTTAATGCAACATTTAATTTTTCAAAGATAAAAATAAAAAATAAATAAAACTTACTATTTATAGGTTGCATTAAATTCTCTCCTATTTTTTTGCTACTATTTTTGTTAAATGGTAATTCTTATTATATATGTATAGATGTATTTGACGCAAAGTTACCAATTACAATCATAAAATATAAAATTCAAAAAACAGAGCATTAAAATCCAACGAAAAGTAATTTTCATAACTAAAATGTATTTTACGCAAACTTACCAACTACAATCATAAAATATAAAATTCAAAACTTTTGATTAACTGCAATTTAAAACAAACAAAAAATACAAGAACAAAAGTTTATAGCACGTGTCTATTATAATATAAAATTATTTGGTTGAATATAAATTTATTATAATATAATTTTTTAAAATACAGTCATCAATGTAAAACAGCTAATAAAGTTATTTGACCAAATTAATTATCCATAACCACAATTATATTTGAGAAAATATTAGTTGAAACCATTAATTCATGAATTATAATAATAAAAAAAGCAATATTAATTTCAATTTTAGGCCAAATTTCTGGAGTTAAAAGTAGTTGGGCTGTTATATTGATATAGATTGTTTCAATTATTATAGAAGCTCCATAGCTTGTGATGTAAAAAGTAAAAACCCTAAAACTTGCATACACTTAAAATTTGCAATCTAGCAACCTTATTAAAGAAGCTCTAACCATCCATAAGCATCATCATAAATAGGAGCTAATTAGATGCACGCATATGCCATAACTATACTATAATTTCAACAGTAGTAATCAATTACATGAGGAACTTTCCAGAAATAATTAAAATTATTTGCCCAGTTCTTGAACTTGTACTAGTACCCTGATATTTGTGTTGGGAAAGAAAACATTTCCAGAGCAAAGATGATCTTTATTATCTACAGATTAACTTTAACAAACACAAGCATTCAGATTGTACAATAGAGCCTTAGCCTACCAAAGAACTCGTATATTACGGTTAAAAAAACAATGCAGTAAGAAACGTAAAAAAAAATAAAAGTAAAAATATTTATCCTGTTGCTAGAGAGGTGAATCTGAAGAAGCCGATTCCATAGTCTGCACATTAGGGGCAGTCACTTGCGCAGAATTCAAACCGAGCGAATTCGAGTCTCCAGACCTTTCGCGTATTTCTCTGTATTCTTGACATAAAGCGCATAAATGGCAGAAAAAATGTGTAATGAAATCACCACACGGCGCTTCCTATATATACAAAAAATAAAATAAAATAAAATAAAACATGTAAAAGAAAGTCCGGGAAATTAACACAGTGAAGTATTAAATCCAACTGTTTTTAACTTTCTACGGCGTTTCATAGGTTTACCAAACCACTAATTTTGATGAGCACATGATGAAACCTCATAGAACACTAGAAGCTTGCAAGTATTATATAGACAAAGCTTAGATTGAATATATGAAGTAAGAGAAGTACAGTTCGAGTGTAAAAGAACAATACTGCTTGTAATTACCCGAAAGATGACACGAAATAATACATATTACAATTGGAAACTTGCTGCGGACTAAAATTACCTCGAGATTGTAGTTTGACCTTAATGTTGTTCGGTAGCTACAAGCATAGCATGCAACGAAGCACCCGGGTAAGCCCAACATAAGGCCTTCAGTCAACATGCAGCAAAATGTATTGACAATAGCCCACAAAATAAAATGCATCATGCATGATCCCGTTAGAGTCCCGGAGCCCAAAACTTGTGCGTTTTTCGCGAAAAGATAGCATGGGCAGAACAGCCCAACACAACCTGAGAAAAAGAATTATTAGTGTCCAAAATTTAGACATCCCATAATCATTTACATTAACAGGGCCCGATTTTAGCAACTTTTCTTCAGTACATTACATTGATNAATTCTTTAACATTTTAATTTCCTTTTGTTTTCGCATCAATCAAGATCACAAGGTAGAAAGTGGCGTACAGCTCTGCATATCATCAAAACAAGCACAGATTCCGGATGACCACTGGCCGGGGTCTCTTTCAATGCCTAGTGTAGAAGGTACAACATCTGATGCAGGGGGTACAGAATCTGTCTCCACATCTGATTGTCCCAGAGGGATATAAGCCGGGGGCACGTATTTATTCCGGGCCACCATTAGACCTTGAAAGCACAGAGTTTACACTATATATCGCAGTTCAATGCTTAAACAGCAATCTGCAGCATAAGAAAGAGAAAAGCCCCATTTTCACATTCCTTCTTTATCTTTTTTTATTACCTCTTGTTATTGTTTCTGCAGTATGACATCTGAAACACATGTTTATGTCAATGATCCAAAAAAATCTACATTACACAATTAAGTCACGAAATTTCCATACTTGAGATCATTTGATTCGATAACCAATCTCGCAGTTTCATTAGGAGCTCTAGTGATAACAGGTGTTTGTCTGAGATAATAAACACTTGAAATCATCTTGCAACATACATGTCTAGGAACTTATGAGATATCTTAAACAAAGAATCTATCCAGGTTGAGATTTTTGAAATTCAATCTTCTTCAATCAATATCAAAACCCCCAATTACCATAAAGGAAAGAAAAGTAATGCAGAAGTGCCACGAGGGATCACTAATATTATTCAACTGCTGGCACACAAATTTCCCCATTCAAGATAATTACAATCATCTTTACCAAACAGGGACAAGGGATAGCAGGAAAAAATATCTTGATTTAACTTTAACAGAACAATCGCACACACGGAATTTGCCCAAATCGTCATCCCAACACAATAAAATTAAAGCTCCATTAAACATTCGAGATCAATAAAATTACCGAAAGCAGAGTATTTAATTCAATGCACAAAACCAAAAATTAGGGCAAGAAATTAATAAAAATTACAAATTGCATTATCATTCTTGGATCTAGAAACGCAAAAAAGGGAAATAAAACACAATAATAACTATAGAACTCGAAAAAGGGCACCGACCTAGGTGAAGAACTTCCGGTAAAGCTGTCGATGGAAGAGGAAAAATCTACTTCCAGGAAGTAACTTTAAATGCCAGGCTCAACAAAAAATCACTCTTTGTATGTGGGTTTTCTTTTATGGGAGCACAAAAGCTGAATTGCAGAAGTGGTGAAGAATTATTTTGGTGGAGAAAAGGAGATTGTAGAAAGCTCTTGAACAAGAATGTTGCGATTTTATTGATGAAGTCTACAAATTGCATGCGTTGTTAACCAGGTTTTAGAGAAACAAGCTAAGCCTACGTGACAAATTCTCATGCTTTGGAATCTTATTTGGCAAACTTAGCTCCCAACTTTATGATGAATGTTACAGTACATACGTATATCGAATTTGAGAATATAATAAATGCAATATTTAGGAGAAAAGAATTTCGATAACCCCTTTAGCTTGTAGGAGTGCATCTTGAATGTGTTGATCATGATATGAATGAGGCAATTGAAATTTGTGGGGATGCATAACTATTGTTTGTCAATAAATACACTGTCTATCAAGCATTTTATCCAACAATTATGATACAATTTTGACCTAAACTGGTTGAGATTAATACCTCAAAACTTGGAAGAACTGCTGATATGACTAAAGATTTTGAAAAACTCACTCACTCATTCATGGAAGAACTGCTGATATGACTAAAGATAAATGAAAAACGAACTCACTCACTCACTTAATTTAAATATGTTGAGTTTTAACATTATTATTAAATTTACAATGTTTCAATTAAATTAAAAAAAAAAATTATTTCATTTAGCTCCTAAAAAATTTTTAGAAATCGTCATATTTTATTTAACTTCAAACTTATTAAGGCTATGTTTGGTAAAACTAGCTGATAAGCTAGCAGATAACTTATTTGTAATTTTTTAATTTATAGCTTATAGCTGAAAAGCTAGCTTATATAATAAAAGTGTTTGGTAAAATTAGCTGATAAGCTAGTTGAAATAAAAAATTCAACTATCTTATTTGAAAAGCTACCTAAAACAGCTTATGTGATAAGCTCGAACTTTTTAAAAAAGTTTGTCCTACCAAACGAGGCTTATTTGAATACAGAGAGCTTATAAGCTAACCAAATAAGCTATAAGCTAACTTATTTGACTTACCAAACACAACCTAATTATAAAATCCGTCCAGCCGAATCGGGATCGATTGGTCAAAAACCGAACTAAACGCGACGATTCAAGTCAAAATCATCAACCTTCCAGACCAATTATGGTTCAAAGGTTTATAAATTAATGACCCGCGGGATGAGCCGAAGTTTAGGTGTTGTTTGGATAGAAGATATCCAAAAATATTCAAACATTTTAACTCAAATTAACTAACCATTATTTTAATTATTTTATTATAAATAATATTTTAATATTTTCAATAATAACTAATCATACCAATTAACTAAAATAAATCAAAAAAATCAAAACAAATCCAAAACTTATTATTGTATCCAAGCATCCCTATGGGCTCGGCCCGTTTCCGGACCCATCAGAGGTAGGGGGCTATTTTAAAATTGAAAAATTTGGAGGCTATAAAGCAAAAAGGCACCTGGAACCTCCCGCCGTCACTATTTGCATCCTATACGCACCCATTCACGAGTTACTGGAAAGAGGCCTCTCGAAAGACCTTCGTTTACCACTGTCCACAAATACCTAATATATACATAATTTATTCATACACACTCTGCAAGTCTGCGTGTGTGTGTCACTGCGTGTCTGCGGGGTGCTTTCTCTTCTTCCGTTTTTCCATTTTCTTTTTCCTGCCACATTTTATTAATTTGGCCCGTTTTGCATCAATCTTCCTTTTGCAATTTACTTAAAAATTCAAACTTGCTGCATTTTTTTTTTTTTCCTTTTTGTTGGCACTTTCCTTTTAGTCGTAATCTCTGATCTGATTATGTAAAGATTCGTATCATTCAAAAGGGTTCCTTTTTATGCTATCGTGTTTCTTAAAAATTGAATCTTTTTCACAGCTAATTATGTGCTGACGTTCCTTTTACATTCTTTCTATTTTCACTCCCGAGATTTTGTTCCATTTTTGTTTAAAAGATTGCTACTTCAATACATGTTCATCTGTGTTTTTCATCATTTCCTCATTCTTTTATCTTTACAAGTGCTTGAATTTTGTAGATTGAGAGTCTTTGCCAGGGATTTTCTCAATGGAGCTTTTTAGAAGTAAATCATTGGTATGCCCTGTTGATCAGCATTGTTCCCAATGGGCAAGAAAGCTCATGGGCTACTGTCTCTGCGGGAAAAGGGATATGCTGTCATTGGCTTTGGGTGTGATTAGTGTGGTGAGTTGGAGTTTGGCTGAGGTACCGCAACTCATCACGAATTATCGGAGCAGATCGGCTGAGGGGCTCTCGTTTTTATTTCTTACGACATGGATTGTCGGGTAAATAAAGTATTCCTGAATGATTTTATTTAGTTCTATGGCTTCTCTATCATTTATATGTTAGTTTTAGCAGATTGCATTGGTTTTTCTTCACATTCTTTTGAGTCTTATGGGGTTTCGAATGTGAAGCTGAATTCTTGAACTCTACGAGAGGCGATGATGTAATTAATGCTGGTCAAAATCGAGAGACTAAATTTGACTGTATGGGTTCTGGTTTTCTTGGTTAATATGAACACAACATATGATAATCATGTTCATATACATTACTCACATTATTTATGGAAAATATCTTTCTTGAACATCATTGATTTCATTTGTTCTCCGGAAAATGCTACTGTAAATCTTGGGAAGTACTTTCGGAATTTTACGGTTTGGAATATTATGTTGATTTCTGTAGAGTATTGTTGTATAGCTGTTTTGTGGTCAATTTGTTTGTCTGACTGGTTACTTTCTTGATAACTTTTTTATACAGAGATTCTCTCAACCTATTTGGCTGCATTTTGGAACCAGCTACTGTAAGTTTGTTAATGATCTGCCTTCTATGTGTCTTTAACTGAATTCGTCGATTGGAGAAGACATTTCATTTCACGTATTTTGGTGCTAGAATTTTCATTTTATTTCTCATAGATCATAAAGAATATCCATTTTATTATGTTAGTGTGCTTCTAAATTTCGAAAGTTCATTCCTCATAGTTTTTCTAAATCTTGAATATCTCACTCGTACTGCGATTTCTGATTCTTGGAAGTCAAATGTTTAATTCATTATTTTCTGATTTGCAGCTTCCAACTCAATATTATATGGCGTTGGTATGATTTTTCCTCCACCCCATTCCTTTTTATCTATCTGTTTTAACTCTACATTCATGTTACCATTGACCATTAATCTGATTGGTATAATTATCTGTTTTTGGTTGTATACAGTTATATACAATTACAACCCTTATTCTTTTCTCGCAAGCTGTTTACTATGGACACATCTATCCACGACTTAAGTCCAACAGGAAGCATGAGGTTCGGATTCGAAAATTGTCAAGTTATACTTACATATACGCAATATAATGGGAATTTTGACATTTTCCCACTTTATTAGTTTATTATAATATATGATTTAGTTTAATCACAGCAGTCGAGCCTTTCGCACTTTTAACATGGTTAAATGATCAATTTCTGGTTAACACTTTCACTCAATGTGTATCCATAGGCTTCTCAGGCGGGGCCCGGGGAAAGAAGAACGGGGCAAATTTGTGCTGTTGATATAAAAAAGGCTGATAATTTAGAGACAGCTGGATTTACTCCGAGCTCGCCTATTCCCGTTGCATACAATTCACCAGATAGTTCCGGAGAACTATTCTTTATGTACTCGACCCGTCTCTTTAACTCATTAAACTGCATATGATTTGTCGATATATTGAGCATTTTTAATTCACTTTATTAAAAAGAAAAAGAAAAATTGAGTGGGGTTTTTTCACAGGTCAGCAAGATCACTTTCAGTCTGTCATACACCACCACCTTTAGGATCTTTCCTTGCATCAAGAACTTCTAACTTGGAAGTTGAACCGAATTTGCTCGAAGAACCATTGCTAGGTGAAGTTAGTTCGTCACAATCTGCGCCTCCACCCAAAGTTAAAACTATGCTTTGTGTGGTGAGTGAGGGCTTCTTCTAATTTTGCATCCAAAATTTTTCACAAAATTTCATTTTTCCCCCCACATGTTAAAGATTTTTCATTTTGATCTCTGGCTATTATTGAAATTATTGTCGATCAGGTTTCCTTGATGACATTTGTACTTATGGAAAGCCGTAAAAACAACACAGTTTTTAAAAGTCCAACCGAAGGCATTGTGTTGAGAGTGGGAAGACAACTTTTGCAGGTAAGATGTTTTAATTTTCGAGTGAAGGATTGTCGATTTTTTTTTTTCCTCTCTTTTTTTTTGGGTGTACTCTTCTGATTAGAATTGATTTATATAATTTATCGAAATTACAGGCCACTCTAAGGTCAACACAAGAAACTGTGTCTGCAGAGAGCAATGGGATTGGAACATATTTCGGTTGGGGAATGGCAGCTATTTACATGGGCGGACGTTTACCCCAAATTTGTCTGAACGTAATTATAATATTATATAATCTGAACTTCTTCCTGTCTAGAATTTAATTATACAATAAATTCAAAACAAAACATTAACATTTTCTTTTCTTCAAATTTCTACAGTTTCGAAGGGGGAATGCTGAGGTAAGTGTTACTTTTGCTCCCTCCATTTTTTTTCTTTTTATAAGAAAACAACCATAAAAGATAACTTTTGCCTCGGTGCTGAGTGCAGGGGCTTAACCCGCTAATGTTTGTTTTTGCTCTTTTTGGCAACTCTACATATGTGGCAAGGTAAGCAAAAGCTGCAAATCTTTATTCTTTTTCCTTCTTTCACCATATCTTCTCTTCCTTTTGAAAAAATATTTGTTATTTATATTTTCTTTCTTCTGCAGCATTCTTGTTAACAGTTTAAAGTGGTCGAAAATACAGCCAAATCTTCCTTGGCTGGTGGAGTCCGGGGGATGTGTGCTTCTAGATATATTTGTATCCTCTATTTTATTTTTTATTTTTTTGATTGAATGTCTGAATATTGCAATATCCTTAGGGGGCGATTGGATATAAATTGAATAGTAAAAAATCCAATCAAAACTCAAATTTAACTCAACTTTAACTCAATCCCACTATCTTCAATATTACCAATATAATTAAATAATATCAACCAATCATTCTTACACATCAAATCAACTTTAATTCACTATTCATCCACTCACATAATTTTAACTAACCATCACTTCCAATCATTTTTCTCCTACTTTACATCAAATCAACTTTAATTATTTTATTTAAATATTATTTATATATATCCACTAACAACTAACCATACCTCTTTTTTCCAAAATTAACTATAGTTAAAAACAAACCAAACAAAAACTAGTTGAATCCATAAACAATCACCCCCTTAATAAAATGTTTTCAGATACTTGTTCAATTCTCTTACTATCGGTATCGATCAAGGACTAAAGTTGAGAAGTACGTCTCATGAGTGAATTATCAATAATCATGACAATTGGCAAAAGTAAATTAATGTTCCCTCACAAGTTCTTATTGTATCCATTATTTGCCTTGTAATTTTTTCACTTATTATTCCCTTGTTCATATTTGAAACTACTATTATTAATTCTATATAATTTATCTCTGCAGTGAACGGGCGTTTGTGAAGGCAGCTGGTGCTTCGAGTGCAGAGACACTTCTGATCTTACTGTAAAAATTCAGCAACTTTCAGATTTTGCCGCTATTTCCTTTATTTAAAAAAAAAAAAAAACTTTTCTAGTAACTATTTCTGTTGCTTTTCGGCTCTACCTTTTTTTTTGGTCTCCCATACATTCTTTTGTGCCCTCATGTAGATGTGGCTTCAGTATTGTTGCTCAGATCTTCTCGTAAAATTTGATTCGTTTGCTTTTCGGGTTTTGATGATGGTGAGTGCGTTGTGGATTGTGGGAGGGAAGAATGGAGAGTACTAGCCATTGAGAAGAGGTGAAAATGGCTGTTTTTTATTGAAATCTTGATGAGTTTTTGCCATGTTTTTGTTGTTGTGGACCTTGTGGTTTTACATGGAATTGCACTTGTGGTGTTGGCTTAGTTTTGCCAAGAGAAAATATCTTGCTAAAAAATGGGAGAAAGAAAAAAAGAAAAAAGAAACTTTTTTTTTTTTTTTTTTTTTTTTTT